AGTTGGACAGAGATGAGAGAGATTCTGCTGCAGAGAGCTCCACCTTCTATCACAAGCTGTTCCTGACATACATCAGGACCAAAGAGATTTCGTGCATATTAGAATACCTATATCATATAATAATAACGATTTAGGGATATTGTTGGCACTTTACACATACATCCATGAGTTGAAGGGTACTGGAGCCGATGCAAAGCCAAACTTCATTCCACTCAGACAACTGAGCATTACACAACGACGATTCGCACACAACCACACATTAATTATCGTAAGTCCACATGAGTGACAGCTCTCTGGTGCTGCCTTGAGGATGGAGGACAGCAGAGTGGAAGGTGCGCCTCTGCTTTTGCATTAGCTCCAAAAATGACTGTGTGTTAACTCCAGAGCAAATCAAAGCTAACATAATATATATGTGTGTTTGGCATTAGATCCAGAGCTTATATAGGATGTTATATGATGCATTTAACCTATTTACATCATTGCCACATAATGCAAAATGCCAGTAAAATAATGTTGACGTCCTTAAGTGAAAAATGTAAAAATAAAATGAAACAGTTTCAGTAATAAGTATCTACATGCAGTTCTATGGTTATTTAAAAAGAACAAAAAAGCTGCAGCTGTAACAGTTCTAGGGCCGTCTGAGGCACTTGTAGCAGAAATATCCCGTTTCTGTTGAAAAAAAAAAACTGTGAAATTAAAAATGATGGAAATGTTGGATAATTTGAACATTTTAAAATATTTCTGCCAAAAAAAATAAAAACGTAATGGAAAACTGTTGATGGAATAACTGTTTTAAAACCAGTGTTTGCATGAAATGCCATAAAATGTTTAAGATTGGAGTTGTTTAAGATGCAGCATCCATTTTGGTCTTGACCCTTATTTGGACTAGTCATTAGCTAATTAATCTAGTTAAAATAAACCACAGCTTCTCCTAAAATATATCAACAACAATATGTGTTCATAAGCTCTATACACTTCAAAATGTCCAAACTATTCCTTTAAAGTCAGCATTTGAGTACAGATGTACATATTTGGTCCAGACTTTCAGTTTATCTTAAGAAATATGAGTGAAAGTCCAACAAAAATAATTCAATATAGATGTTGAATGTTCAGAATCACAGCGATTTAACGTTTCAAGTTTTAGTCCAAATATGAACAAAACTTTTACAAGTGAGATGATTTGCATAACAAAGGAGCTGTGCATGTGGTGCATGTGCACGTCAGATGTTTTTCATTGAACTTCATCAGCCTGGACAGGCATGACAAACTCCAGAGTGATGATTTGACAAATTGTGGTGACCTCGAACACTGCTTGAGATGCAGATCATTCATGAGTCATGATTTTCTAAAGCCCTGTGGATTTTATGGGTTTGGAAAAGCAAAATAAGCTCATGTGCCTCTGTTGGCGGAGCAGCTGGAGTGACAGGGAGGAATTTTCAGAGTCCGCTTTATTTTTTTATTTTTTTGTATAAAAGTTTGAGTGTGAATAAGACAAGTAAAGAGCTTTTTATGAACCACTTGTGTAAACTGTTATTCTTAACTGGCTCGTTTGAGATACAGCTAGGAGGTTGAGTGGGCAGCCATGTGTAAAATATACAGCTGTGTTTGCAAAGAAAAATGGGTTCATTCAAATGTAGGGTTTCTACCTAGCAGACAAAATAGGCTTTAAAGTTATGTTTCAGTTCATCATCATAAACATGTCATTTTTCACATGCCCGTCCAAGTCGGACATGTTATGGTCTCTGTCCGTAAATGTTCTCTTGTTCCGCTAATAACTTCTAATCCTCTCAACATATTGTGATAAACCTTCACACACATATGCATCTTCATTAAATGGAGTGTCGCGTACATTTTCATCACCCCAGCTTCAAGGTCAAGGTCACAAATTAAAGTCAAGGTCTTTGCTCGTCCGGTTAATAACGTCTGATCCGCTCAGGGTATGTATATGACCACTAAGACTGTGTCACGCCATTTTGCATCTTCCCAGCTTCAAGGTCAAGGTCACAAATCAAGGTCAAACATACAAGATCTTTGCTTGTCTGCGTCGTAACTGCTGATCCATTCAAGATAAGATGGTGAAACTTTATGTAACCGGTTCCTTTCTGCGTTGTGCTGGTTATTAAAGAAGGATTAGACCGTGACATGGTTTACCTTGGACATGGTTCGTTCCTCCGTTTATTTTGACAAGAATAACAAACACAAAACAACCACGTTATTGGCTGCCCGCTCCGAGTCCTCTCCCATAGGACAACAGTACAAAGGGGAGGGTATAAGGGGCGTAAACAATTTTAAAAAGCAATACAACAGAAGGAGAAATAAAAAGGAGGGACCCCGATCTTAAAGTCACACGCTTATTTATCACAGTGGTTTCGAAAAGTGTCTACACAGTCAGGTTTATGAACAATTCAAAAAAACAAAAGATATTTTGTGTGATTTTAACAAAATAGAAAAACAACCTGGTTACATTTATATACACAATCAGCAACACTAGACGAAGTGTCACATGCTTTTATCAAGGTCAAAATTAAAACAAGGCCTTGTCAAAGCTGTTGCTATGGATTGCTGTGTTAAAGTTTGTTGACGGGTGCATCATGTGCTGTATGAGCTCTTGTCTAAATTCTAAACAGGAACCAGAATTCCTGCATCTCAAACTCTTTCTCCTGGCTGGAAATTCTCTCCTCCTGTTTTCTGCTCCATCAGCCCTCTAAGTGCAAACAGTTGAAATGTTGGTGCAGATTTTACCCCATCAAGATAAAAATATTTTTCATTAAACCCTTATTTATACAGGTTAGTTTCATTGAGTCACGAGGACTCATTTACAAGAAAGACTGTATACGAATCTGTAGTATCCACAGCAAACCTTTAAAGAGTGTTCCAATGCTGTAAAGCCTTATTGCTTCTAAAGAACACACACACACACACACACACACACACACACAT